CTGATGCTGCTCACTCTCCCTCTGTGTAATAATGGAGGGGGTACAGAAACTGGACAAGCAAAGGCAGCTAAGACAGCGTGTCTAACCAGGGCTGACATTTTTGGTATCTGTCCAATGACAGTAACCTGGGCATTAGGATGTCATGCTGTTCGTACTGCATCAGCACAACATGGTACTGTGGCCTCAAACCATCAGGTCACACTGAAGCATGTTGTAAAACAGCAGGACTTTTGTGGGCTCTGAAAAGTATCTCGAGACCTGTTCGCTTCTGCCAGTCACATTAAGGATAATCCAGGAACTAACAGGGCAGGCTGGAAAGTGGAAGAGGAGACATCTTCCTATAAAAATATCTGATATGGACCATTGCTGGACACAGGTATCCAAGTAAAAAGACCATTGCCTTCTGAGTGCAGACCAATTTCTATAGTTTTAATTATTCCATTAAAGTAAGACTTGGTTTCCCATAGTAATATCCATTTTGTAAGTACTGCACTGATCTATACTAGGCAATTTCATGGGCCATGTATGTGTTGCTCAGCTCCCGTCAGTGTACAGGGACAGTTATTTTGAAACCCTTTTTCCGCCTCTTGCTCATCTCACAGATACTCTGGGCTAGCGTCAGCCAGAAATGCCATGTCAGTCACACTCTGAAAACTGCGTCACTCTCTAGGTCACGGCAGCTCCTAAGGAGCCTCGGAGCAGTGGGCACGCAGTCTGCTCGCTGCCAAGTGCCATTGTGCGTCAGTCGCAAAACATTCAAGGGCAGAGTGGGTAACATGCACCTGCAGGCCAGTGCCTCTCCAGCACTTCTTCAGTTACAGAGATGCTGTACTCAGAGCTCCATCCAATCTCTTCGGCTGCTCTGCAAAGCTCTCTCCCATCTGCTGCAGCATTCCAGCTGCTCAGACAGAGATTGCTCTCCTTGCTCAGGGGGAATACTCTCCTGCTAACAGGATCCAAGCGTGAAAATGGAGGCTGCAGAAGCATGTGTAACATACCTTTTTGTTACAATTCTGATTCTGCCGGTCTGGGATATAATCTAGACTTGCACTTTTAACCTGTTAGGGACTCCTCAAACTTTATACTAGGATGCATCAATATCGTAAACTTTATAAAACACTGGACTGCAGTTGACCTAGATACCCTTCCTGTCTGCATGTCTTGTCATATAGACAATATAAGCCATTGTTGTATCCATATGGGGTGGATTGAGGGATCCATGGATCCTATGGATGGATGCACTGAACCTGTCATTCTATTGCAAACTAACCCATTAAACTAACATGACATTCCCTAGTCACCACCACGCTTGCATGTTATACCCCTTTCTCTCACCCTTTATCTTATTGAGTTAGATTGTAAGCTCTTAAGACGGTCTTACTATGCATCTCTACAGCACCTGGCACAAGACAAATGAGCTGTCGGGTCAGACAGAGGACTGTACGTACCTTTCAACAACCGTGGCGGCGATCAGGGAAGGCATAATACAGAAGAGTTTAAAGAAACAGTCAGTCAATCTGTTTACACCCCAATATGTACCTCCCTTAAATAGGACCTGAAGCACATACGAAGCTATTTAAAAATCTACGCTCCACAACAGAATACACGTGGGCACCGAGGAGTTACAAATCAAAGCCAGACACATCCCATTATCATTATTGTTATTTACTCTGGTTGAGTCCTTTAGGCACTGCTGGGATTGGGGCCCTATTGTGCTAAGTGCGGTCCATACACTCCCTACCCCACAACACTCACAGCCTGAATAGACAGGTAGTACTATCATCCCCATTTTACAGATGGGGAACTGAGGCAGAGAGATGTGAAGTCCAAGGTCACATAGGGGATCTGTCATAGAACTAGGAGTTGAACTCAGGTCCCCTGCTTCCAAATCGAATGCCTCAAGCACAAGATCATCCTTCACCCACCATGAAGCGCTGTACTGAATCATTGCACTCCAGAAAACATGCCCATAGCATTTTGGGGCATCCCAATACCGAAGAGGATGAAAATGCTTGGCTTATGGGGACGCGTAAGTATGAGCATAAGTGATGGCAAAGTCGTTTGCTGAAGAGCGAGCTTGTTTCATTTTACTCCCACTCTCCATGTGTAACTGCCACCCAGTGACAGTTAAGCACTCTGCATCTGTGTGAAATGCTCACTGCCTCCCACGCTAGTGGAACATTCCATTTAAATCCGTCTAATAAGATAATTGACACTGCACCGTGACTGATCCGCTGTCACTAGATTCAAACATCAGCGTCTCTAGAATCTTTGTGACTTCAGCCTTCACAGTAACAGCATGTTATGCCTGGCGGAGTGAGGACGCTGGGCCTCAGGAGATCCGAGTTGCACTCCTGGCTCTGCCACAGACTCCCTGTGGTAGACAAGGCCACACAGAGTAAGGGCCTCACATGGGCTGCGTGACCTTGGACAAGTAACTTCATCTCTGTGCCTCAAATTTTCTCCATCTGTAAAATGTACCTAATACCTTTACAGAGGTGACACAAGGTTTAGTTAATTAGGCATATAAAGGACTAAATGTCACTTTTCGTTCCCAAAGTCTTCAAACCCCAGGGAGCTAGCAGTTGTGTCAAGTAGAAAGCATCCTGAAACCAGAGCAAATAGACCCATCAAGCAGGGCTTTGGAGCGGAGCCCAGAGCTGGAGAGTGGAGCAGCTCCGGAGCAGTGGAGCTGCAGGTTTTTGCCTGGAGCTGGAGCAGAGCCGGAGCACAGCTCTAAAGCCCTGCCATCAAGCCCTAGCCTGCAGGAGTTCTGCTAACAAGCTTACAATGGATTTGTCTAGAGGCAAATGTCCTGTATTAGCAGGCAACCTATTGACTAGCATCTGGCATCAGGGCAATCCTGCTAAGTTAGACTGTGATGGTGCTGAGAAGCAGACGTACATCTGGCATGTTAGTGCTATTTGCACATCTCTTTGTAATGACCATCGCTGTATTGTTTTAACAAGGGCTGCACAGAGTCAGCATGGTGGGGAAGATGCTTGCTCTGGTAGGAGCTTTCTGCAACATGCTTTGTTAGCCTGGGATATGTTTTACCAATTTCCATAGCACACATGGCCCTGGCGTTCAGTTCACAAGTTAGCAAGGACAGAAAGCCAATGAAAAGAATCAGTCCAACATTGAACAAAAGAGGGCCTTACGCTTTGCCTTTCACACTAGGCTGGTTGTGAAGGAGCCTCAAGGGGACTGGATTCCTCTCAGTTTAGAAAGCACCACCATAATGGTGCATTCAAAATTTGGGAGCCAATTGCAAGAGCCTGCCAGCCAGTCTTATTCCACCTCGTCAAAGCAGTTGAGAGGCTGTTTCGGATAACCAGGTCCCAGACCAGTCGTATAGTAATATACCAGCTGTACATTAGGAAAGGCACCAGGGGCCACTGCTGTCATGCAGTAATCTAGAAGTAGCAATGGGGCCAACAGAATCCAAGGCTGAAAACCATTCTAGGGAATGGTGCATACATCCTCCATCCATGGACACACTCCAAACCATTCATCTAAATGTTTCCCCCTTTACTCACCATCTGTGTCAGCCACTAGGAAAAGCTAGAGTCCTAGTTCAGTAGAAAGGGCTCATGGAACATACTGGGGATGTTCCAACCCAAAAAGGCTCAGTCTCCCCAAGCAGCTACACAGCCACTGAACAAGATGCGACAAAGATGAACTCATATGTGGGCCTCTGGGCTGAATGACCAGCTGCCCGGTGCTTCCCTCTGAAGTCTGCCAGAGCAAGGTGCAAGCCCACCCAAGGGCTATTCAGCTCACTCCTTAGAGATCTGTAGCTGAGTCAGAAATATCACATTAGGAGTAGCAGCAAAAATCGCCCAGTTATAGAACCAGAGCCCTTACCTTTATCCACCACGATGGGGATAGCATCACATAAGGCTGATTGATAAATTTTGTAGTTCAAAAAAGGCCAAAATTTCAATGGAAAAAAGGGGAAATTTGTTTTTGAAGAGATTCCCCTCCCCCTACTTTTTAACCAGCTCTAATCACACTTACCTACATAGTCTCTGTCCCATGCACACGTCTCACGCCAGATTGAGAAGGATCATTGAAACCTATAGAATCACCTCATTGCCACTTTATTAATAATATTCCCTCACCTTGGGAGTTTAAGCAAAATGGTATTTTGGGAGGCTGGGAATATCCAAAGATGGTTCCTTAAACCAGGCCCTAACCAAGCGCAGCTGGCTGCTTGCCCGCACTTTCACAGGCATGGATAGCCTTTACCAACAACAGTCCCACTAGCTTTAAGAATCAGCTGCGAAGGATGCAGCTCTATCTTACAGATGGCTGCTCAGGGACCCATGTGTCAGAGAAGCAAACAGGGTAAAAAAAAAAAAAAAAAAAATACTAACCAGCACAAATGGCATGATTTTTCCTGTCCTTCTGACACTGTTCTCATGCCTATGGGCAAGAAATAAACTAATGAACTAATTTTACTAGATTAAAAGAATACTTAGATTGAAGCAGATTTTGATTATTTCTGAAGTATGGCAGTGAACGTAGCAGATTGAAATGGAAGGAAGAAATCTGTGCCCCGAACTCATCCTAAAGAAAGTTCCTCTAAAAATCGGTGGTGCCCAACCTTATTGCACAGGAAGGCGCCATAAACCTAAGCACACCTTTGTGTGGGCCAAACCGATTCTACATATTTTAATAAGACAGAATGTTACCCGTATTGATTTATATTTTATGTATTTATATAGAAACAACCTATCTACAGTATTGTCTATTTAGGCACTTGTGTAAGCTAAAATGATGTAAACATTACAAAACGCTAATGAATCGACCATTAGTATATTGTGTTGAAGCAGGCCGCAGGCCTTATGAAACGCTCTGGTGGGCTATGTACGGCCCATGGACCCTGCTCTAAATAACTCATGATCTCACACCGGAGCCCTAACACCTGACGATGCCAGACGTTGCTGTCGAGAGTTCAGCTGTAGGAGAAGAGGTAGAAGTGCAACATCACTCACCGCCATGACGAGCTCAAAAGGGTATTTGTAGACTCGAACAGGGGACTGGTACTTCTGCACCATTTTTAACCGCACATCTGCAATGGGAAGGGAATAGTGGCTTTTAGATTTTTACCCTGAACACAAAAACTCTAATAAGCATCATCATATATTTTGCACTTTTTATCACTAGACCTTAAAGTGCTGTGCAAAAGGAGGTCAGTATCATTATCCCCATTTTACAGATAGGGAAACTGAGCCACGGAGGGGTGAAGTAATTTGCCTAAGGGTCACCCAGCAGGCCAGCAGCACTGTCAGGAATAGCACCCAGGTCTCCCTCGTCCCAGTGTAATGCTGTACCCACTAGGCTACACTGTCTTGCATATAAGCAGTGCACGTTTCTGTGTCACAACACCATTGCTGTGAATCCCACTTAGAGCTTAAATGCAACTTACAACAGCAACAGACGTTCAGAGCATGAAACAGATTGCTAGGTCAAAGAGCTGCTTGACCATACCTGGGAGGGCGAGACCCTTGGGCGGCTCACCAAGCCTGAATTCCAAATTGTGTCTTCTACCCGCTGTCTCATACCACCACACAAATCCACGGTGTTGGAACAGTTACACCTGCATCTCCTTGTCTGGCACATGGGATTTAAAACATCTCTTAACCCACCTGATTAAGAGAGCCAAAGGAGGCAGAGTGCTCACAAAACCTGCCCACCACTTAACCAGGAATTGCACCCCACTGACAAGTGACAACGCCAACTGCTCACAGTGGAATGAAGGAAAACAACTGCCTCCCTCGCTTACAAGCAGTACAGACCTCAGCACTTCCTTTATCCAAGCCACCCATCAGAATTCCTCCGCTGCCTCCTTCGCTGGGGTTTTAACCCTCAAACACATGCCAGTAACAAGTATCCTGAGAGAATATATACACCCTTAGAAAAAGCTTGTTACGTGGCTTTCTGCATGTGTGTCCCATGAATACCAAGTGTCTGAGAATGCTAGGAACACAGAAGACAGGCTCTGGGTCTGAGAATCCACGCAGCTCCTACCCCACTCAAATTCCAGTGCCGAGCAGACACTGAAAGTACTGTCACTCAGCACGGAACTCAACAGCTAGGACACAGAACTAACCCCTGCTTTAAGCTGAGGATTAGAGGTGAAACAGAGCTAAAAGGTTCTAAGCAGCAATACACCCACCAGCTTCAGGAAGATTTCAACAAGAAAGCCACTTTACCCTCTCACAGGGAAAGGTCTAAGCATCTCAATATTAGGAGGGGGTGGGGTGGGGATTTGCAAAGAGAACAGCCTATCACAGTTCAGAAGTTTGGGGATAGCTCGTAGTAGAAGAGTCTCAAGTTCAGCCAGAGACACACTTAACTCTTTCAATCCATACGACAGGTTCAGGGCTCAATGGATCTTAGAGAAACTGCATCAGCACTGAAATTGAATAGCGGCAGGCCCAACAGTGTGGAGAGACACCATCACCAGGGCACCCGACACCAGCAAAAAGCAAACAGGGTGAGAGCAAATAAGCACTCAGAAAGCCAGGCTGGTATCATGTAACAGGTACCCGAGCCAAGAGGAGCACTGGGCACCTTGTGCCGTAAGGCTGTAATTTGATTATGTAGCTATGGTACCTGGCCTGTGCAGGGACCTTCTGGGTAAGCGCTAACATAGTGGAAGAACCCTAACAGCCAAAGGTATTCAGCCGTGATCTGGTTAGCACTCGCTGACCTGGCTCCCATATATGAAATCCATGCCCTCTCTCTACAGGGGGCAACGAGTCCAACGAGAGAAAGCAGCAACCTAGAAAACAGCAGTCAGTCTTAATCTGTGTCCACACTAGAGAAATGAGCCACTGCTAACTGAACCTGCAGAATGGCAGCAGCATAAGGTCCAACGAGGCAGCAGAACAGTCGCCATGCTGGTTTAGGAACAGTTTTGTTTCGCCCGTACTTGCGCTGCACCACACTGTTACAGAGTTACCGCCCCGCTGGGTGCCTATTCCACACTTCCCAGCCAAATTCCCTGTAACAGTGGCTTGAGAAAGAGTTTGAAAGGTCTAGGAGTCAAGAGGGGCTGTGGGAGAAAATATCAAACTCAAAATGCCCCAGAAAATTCCCCATCATTCCCAGGGAAAAGGTGCTGGCACAATTTCCATTTTCAGAAAAGCTTTAGGAATTCAGGATAAATGCCCCTCTTTCACACAGCCAGAATGGCTTCTGCCAAAGCTTCTAAACAGCACTCATGAGACACTGAAGGTAGCCGTGGAATGTACCTGCTGAGTACCTGAGATAGAGACTAGCAGTTGAGGAATTTCGTGCTACATCATACATAAAACTCCCCCCTCTGGACAGTACTTAGCACTATGTTAACTGGATAAAGCTTAGTTTGTGGCCATGGTCTGCGCTCACTCTCTAATGGGCTAGAGTTGTTCTTCAGACCTGGGACAAGCAGAAATGGCTGCAGAACTTCAGATAGAAGAAGATTTGTCCATCCTTCTGTGGTCAGACAGTACAGACGCTCCAGCCCCTTAACTACCCAGATGACAGCACTGCTCCCCATGGAAAACACCATGAGATCCTCCTATAGAAACCTGCCCTGCCTAGTTACTGGTCAGTTGGACCAGCTTAGGGTTCAGAAATCCATGGTGGCAGGTGTCACCATGAAGGTAGGTATGCAGGAACACTACATAAAATGCATTGCAGGGGCATGTCACTGAAACAACCAGTATAGCAGAGACCATTGAGGAATTTTTCAGCAGTGGATTTCCCAAACTGTGCAGGAGCTATTGATGGAACCCGTGTGCCCACTCTTGGCCAGTCTCCAGGAATACATTAACCAATGGATACTATTCGGTAGTGGTGCACGCCTTAAATGGATCACCTGGGAAGGGCCCAGCTGTGTAGAGAATGGCCCAGTGACATGCCCACGGCCAATTTTTTTCCAGAAATTCGAGACTTTGCGGGAAAGGGACTATATTCCCACTGAGGAACATTAACGAAGCCTCCATCTCTATTGTGATTCTAGGTGAGCCTGTCTACCCACTTTTGCCGTGGCTCATGAAGTCATTCCCAGGTTATACAAACCTTAGATAGTGGTGAATCAGCTACAGATTCTGGGGTGGGGGGAGGGGTGGAAAACACAGTGGAGGAGTGATGCTGGAGATTTCCTAACCCACAACAGTTTAGTAACTAATATAGCAATAATATCTACCTGCTGCAATTTGAACAAGTAAATAAGGGCAATTTGAACAAGTAAAAGAAAAAGGGGGTCCTTAATGAGTAGGGAAGTGAGTAAGCAGCAGGGCAAGCAGCAACCTGTGCATGGAAAGGCAAACTATTGCACCTGGGGCTGTTGTTACTAATTAGCCCAGCATGCTGTTCAAATTAGAGGTTTCAGAGTAGCAGCCATGTTAGTTTGTATTCACAAAAAGAAAAGGAGTCAAATAAATTTGTTATTCTCTAAGGTGCCACGAGTACTCCTTTTCTTTTTGTTCAAATTAGAACTATTCTGTACCCTTTGCAATACAGATGGGAGAACTGGGGAAAGAATATTTTATTTAGAATCAGACATTCAAGCTAACATCTAGCTTACCATTTTTATTATTCCCATGAGGGCTTTTCCTTTTATCTTTGTACAGGCAAAAAGATTTTATGACGTGTAGCCAGATGTATGGAAACAGAGGGTGGGAATTTCACAGGAACCTCAACAACGTAAGAGCACAAGTGCAACTAATAAATAAATAAATATCAATGGGACTTGTGCTCCCAAATCACTTACACACTTCACTGCAGCACTTACTTCTAGCTGGGATTTCAAGAGTGCTTTGGGGAGTATGGGACACTTTGAATGGTTTCCTGCAGTTATTTCTCATTGTTTAGCAGCAATTTGGCTTTGAGTTGGAGGGCCATTGTGGAGGACAAAACTGTTGAGCAATCGATATTAAAAAGTCCTATTTGTCTGACTTTTTCCTGGAATCTGCTATATTACACACACAATGACCAGCTGCAGTATCAAACCAGACTAGCATCTACAGTAACTAAAGCGATAGTATTTTACAGAAAAAAGCGCATGTTTGGGGCTCTCATTTTCCTTGCCCCATTCATGTGAAAGTGGGGAATACCTGAGAAACTACAGGAGAGTAGGGGGGAAGATCAACAGTAGTTGCTGTCCTGGTTACCACATTTGTATTGGCAGGAGCCAGTTGCTGGATCAACTGTTACGTCATGTTTTCTTGACCTTTTAAGTTCTCTCATTGGAACCATCTGTTCTCATGTCACTCTTTCCTCGCCTTCTGGAAATCTCTAGAGATTCTAGAATCTCCTGCCGAAAGCTGTTGTGTCCTCCAGAAGTGAGCCTCATCCTCATACCAAAGCATTTGATCAAAATCCCTTTTCCATCTCTCTTGATGAGAAGCAATAGGACTTTCCAGCTTCTTTTTTCCTGGATCTGAGATCCACCAACCATTCCACCCTCTGGATCCTGTCCACCTGCCTCTATGCCTATGGAGCAATACAGCCACTACAATGAAAAATAAGTGGCAGGGTTATTAACCTAGCAATATCTCATCCATTCATTGGAATACCAAGGGATGCAATAAAATTAGGATACAAAAGTGGAGTGGTGGAAGGGAAGGAGGAATCATGGAGACTCACAGAACAAGGAAGAAGCAAACACTTCCAGCTACCTGTGAAGGTTTAACAGTCCTCTTATCAGTAAATGAGTGGCATTGTTAATGACAACCCAGAGGGAAAAAAAAATTTCCATATGGTCTCAAGATAAGCCCCTGTTGATACCTAATACAATGCAAAGCTGCATACTTGGCATAGAAGGCTCCTCATTCCCAGGTTTCTCCTCCTGCCAAACTGGCTTGAATGCCGTGAGCGAAAGCTTATGCTCAAATAAATTTGTTAGTCTCCAAGGTGCCACAAGTCCTCCTTTTCTTTTTGCCACAGTGTGGCTGGGTCCTGGGATTTCCCAGAGAGATCCTGGAAACATGTTGGGAATCTCTCAGTCTGGCATCTCGCATGCCAGCTCCTCATTCCTCTTGGGCACCCAGTTCAAAAGGTGGCATTCACACTACTGCATTGCAAGTAGTCTCCATGCTAGTCAGTAGCACAGGAGGTTGCATGGAAGGTCCAATGACTCAGTCCAGCTTAGAGAACAGATACATTTTACATGCAGAGCTGGACCTACTTTTCCTGTCCTGAGCTTTATTGGAAGGAACTCTGGTTCCAATATTTAATCTTTTCACAGCACCACTTGGTGTTCTGATTAAAGAACGTCTCTGCTAGTTGCCTGGACCCCCAGTTACACAGCACAGTGTTCCTTACAGAGTTCAGCCTCTCCCGGAGCTCATCTCCCCAAATGGCTACCAGCATCTGCACGTCAGCCTCAGCAGGCTTCCAGGAAAAAAAAACGCTAGACATGCTAGCAGATGAACCAAGATGAAGTTGATCACTGGCTAAACAGTATACAACTGAGCCCCATGGTGTGTGCGGTGCTATTTGTACAGCTAAGTGTCTTCAAACAAACTTGTCCCTGGTGTAGTGGAGTTCACAGAGTGGAACTGACAGGCTTTCTAGACAGCGACTGATGCAGTAAGAACAGAGGTAGGCAAACTACGGCCCGCAGGCTCCATCCGGCCCGCAGGACCATCCTGCCCAGCACCTGAGCTCCTGGCCCAGGAGGCTTGCCCCCGGCCCTTCCCCTGCTGTTCCCCCTCCCCCGCAGCCTCAGCTCACTACGCCGCCAGCACAATGCTCTGTCCTGGTGCCTGTCCTGGTACAGCCGCGCCGCCAGCCACCAGTGCTCCAGGCAGTCGGTAAGGGGGCAGGGAGTGTGTGTGTGGGGGGGGTTGGATAGAGGGCAGGGGAGTTCGGGGGATGGTTGGGGCCAGGAGTGGTCAGGGGTGGGGGCGGTCAGAGGGCAGGGAACAGGAGGGTTGAGTGGGAGCAGGGGTCCCGGGGTGGGGCAGTCAGGAAGGAGAAGAGGGGTTGGATGAGGTAGCAGGGGGCAGTCAGGGGCAGGGAGTGGGGGAGTGGATAGGGCAGAGGTCTTGGGGTGGGGGCAGTCAGGAAGAAAGGGGGGGTTGGATGGGGCAGGAAGTCTGGGGGCAGTCAGGGGACAGAGTGGAGGGGGGGCGGGGGAGGGAGAGTGGATGGACAGATGGGGCAGGGGGTCAGATAGGAGGCAGGGGCCAGGCCATGCCTGGCTGTTTGGGGAGGCACAGCCTCTCCTAACCGGCCCTTCATACAATTTCAGAAACCCGATGCGGCCCTCAGGCCAAAAAGTTTGCCCACCCCTGACTAAGAAGGTCTACCACACTACCGGGACTGTTATGCAGGCACGCCCTGTTCACAAAAGGCACAGCACCGGTGGAGAAGGGACTGAATTGGACCTTTGAGCAAGGCTCACCATTGTATCGTCTTCAAACGGTTTCATGATATATTCAGATGTTCCTATTGCTGCACAAGTCATGGATGCAATGTGTGTTACTAGTGTGCCAAGAAAACCTAAACTACCAGTATGCCGACCCAGAGAACAGCTGGGCCTGCTTTAACCCTGCACTAAAGCCAGTCAAGGTGCACACAGGAGCGAAGCCAAACATATCAATACTTTTATATTAACTTGGGGGGCCAGCCTTTGAAGTTAGAAATATTTGGGGCCTCATTTTCAGCAACCCACAGTTCTCAGTGGCATCAAATGGAGTTGTGCACAACCAGCCCTTCTGAAAGTCCTTTGTTTAAAAATATTATTTAAAAGGTCAGTTAGCAAGACAAAACCAGAGCTTAGCATTCCATCCACTGAATTCCATATTCCATTTAAATGCAAGGCACACTTCTCCAGTATCGCCGTCTCTGATCTAAAAAAGACAGTGTCACGTACATAAAAACACAAAACAAAAAAACCCTAACACCATCAAAGAAACTCTATCAAAGCACGCCTCTGAACAAACACAATTTGCACCTGGAGAGAGGAGGGGAGAACAAACATGAAAGTCATTTATCATGTTGCTTAATACACTACTGGAAGATTATTACTCTGATACCATGGTGATGAGCACAGAATAAGAACATGTATCGAAAAAAGAGCTTAATGATATCCATGATGAGGCTGGGGCAGACATGCCAGTTAGCTGTGTGTTCATTTCAAGCCCAGGCAGAAGGGAAGAAACTTTGAAAGGTTAAGACTGCTAAGGGAAAAAGAGTTATTTTCATGCTTTTAAAACAACCAGAAGGCAAGAAGTTAGATATGGGAACCAGAAATAGAAGGCAACAAGAACTTAGTCTGTTTTTTTCTAAATGAATTTTAGAGTGTAAAGTGATTTACTGCAAGATAAGTGTTTTCAGGCTTGTCAGTTATTCATCACCACTCCAACAGCTTTACTCCTCTCTCTGCTCCCCTGAGGCTCTTAACTACGATCTTCTCCAACTTCTCCCATCAGCAAGACTGATTTTTTTTCACATCTCCTTCATTCCACCCACTCGTCCCCTCCCTTCCCTGTACTCCTCAGCCCACTCTCCTACCCACAGAGATAGTGCCTGCACCAGGCAACTTTAGAGGAAAAAAATCCCACCCATGCTAGTGCTTGTTCAGTTGTACCAGTGGAGCCCTAGAACACGCAAGCCTCCTGCGTTCTGTCAGAGAGAACCAGATACTCCCGTCCAGCACCACTGACACAGAGTCTTGCCTTAGGGCTGCCAACTTGCAGCTGATGCGGTGGGAATTTTCTTCTAAGCTACTCTAGAGTAGCCTTACTATCCCTGTGAAGTCTTGAGCATCTAATGGGCAGAAATCAAATCCCTGGTTGGTTCAAGTGAGGATAGACCATTAACTTCTTCCACATCACACAGCAGTTTGCCCCTAACCATTGTTACAAGTCTGGAACTACCAAAGGGTGCGGGACACACTGGATCAGCAGGCATCAGCACAGTTCAGGACTTAAGTGCATTGGGAAGGCTTCATGGAGTCCCACATTGGAGCAGTTGAGGAGAAAGGGTGATATAGGTCAGCGTTCAGAGACATTAGCGGTGTTATGTGGGAGCCCAAGACATGATTAATACAGGGGGCTGCAGGTCAGGTTGAAAAGCATCAGCAGAGCTGTGTGAGAGCCCAAGACTGGAGCGGCGGGGCAGGGAGTATGTTTCCAGACTTTATGGTTGCAAAGAAAAGCTGCTTGATGGGACCCACAGAAGTGCCATTTTCCTGAGGCTGCAGGCTGGCAGCTCCAGTTCCAGAGCTGCTGCTCAGCAGGTAACTTTACCTAGCTGGGTAACTGACCTGAAGAGCTCTGTGTAGCTCAAAAGCTTGTCTCTCTCACCAACAGAAGTTGATCCAATAAAAGTTATTACCTCACCCACCTTGTCTCTCCAGTTTTACAGGGGCTGTTTTGACCCTGGACAATTTCGCTGCTGCCCCCGGGGCTCTAATCAATTCCCTGACGCTCAAAGCTCAGGACAGCAAGGAGGGCTGGCACTGGAGTTACACGAGGAAGAGATTCCCTGCGCCCTGCCCCTCACCCAGGAAGAGGGGACTGGAGCGGACACGATCCGCACGACAGGGGATGCGGCGAAATGGTTCTTCCCAGCTGGGTGAGGCGGTGAGCAACAGCAAGCAGGGTCTAGGGCCAGCCCCAGTCTGGACCCCAGCACAGCTCCTCGCCCCGGAGCGGGAATGGGGAGCTGGGTTTCGACCACAGCTGTGGGGAGACTCCCCAGCGTCCACCCCGCTCTCCGGGGCGGGCAGCTCACGGCACCGTCCCCAGGCCCTGCCCGCAGAGCCCCGGGCGCCGTAGCGGACGGCTGGGGTGCGCCACCTGCCAGGGCAGAACTAGCCCAGTACGGAGGGAACCGGAGCTCCGACCCCCCGGGATGCACCAGAGCCGGGACAGCAAAGCAGAAAGGGCGGGGACGGAGGCAGGGAGCCGCCCGCAGAAGAAGGGGGAGGGGGGCCCAACTCGGAGGAGGCACCTGGCTGGGGGCTGGCAGCACGGAGCTGCGGGGGAGCCGGGCCGAGCCGCGACACGGAGCCAGGCCGGGGGCGGGAGCCGGGCCGAGAAGCGGCAGGGAACTGCGGGGGAGCGGAGCCGAGGGGGGCAGGGGGGGAGGGGGGGAGCGAGAGAAGGGAGGAGGGGGGGGGGGGGGGGGGCCGAGAAGGGAGGGAGGGGGGGAGGGAGGAGGGGGGCAGGGCGGGGAGCCGGGGGGAAGCCGAGCCAGACAGCGGCACGGAGCTGCGGCGGAGCCGGGCCGGGGGTGGGAGCCGGGCCGAGAAGCGGCAGGGAGCTGCGGGGGAGCCGGGCCGAAAGGGGGCAGGGCGGGGAGCCGGGGTGAAGCCGAGCCGGCCGGCAGCTGGAGCCGAGCCGAGGGGGAGCCGGGGGCGGGAGCCGAGGGAGAGCCGGGGGGAAGCCGAGGGAGACAGCGGCACGGAGCTGCGGGGGAGCCGGCAGGCAGCGGGAGCCGAGCCGAGGGGGAGCCGGGGGCGGGGGCAGGGCGGGGAGCCGGGGGGAAGCCGAGCCAGACAGCGGCACGGAGCTGCGGGGGAGCCGGCCGGCAGCGGGAGCCGAGCCAGACAGCGGCACGGAGCCGAGGATGCTGCCCCGGCTGCGGGGTACCGCAGGGGGTGGGAGCCGGCCCCACTCTCCGGCACTCACCCTCACACCGCGCCGCGGAACAGCCGGACCGGATCCATGGCGCAGGCAGCGGCCCGGCCTCCTGCTGCCGCGGCTGTTCCCCCGGTCACCGGCATACAGCAGCCCTTCAATCGCCGCGCCGCCAGCGCCCCGCCCACTGTGCCGCACAGCCCCGCCCATGCCCAACCCTTCTATTTCATAGCCCCGCCCTCTGTGCCGCAATGCCCCGCCCACGACAGAGCCACGCCCACTGCCCCCCCCAGCTCCGGCCCAGTTAAGACTGCAGATTTATTACAGCCCTTTTCACCAAAAGTAAGGCAGAGTGACCCCGAGTGCAGTAGAAATGGGAGTACTACGTGTACCACGACTGCTCCCTGCTTTTTTATTAAAAAATGTCCTCCTGCTGGCCCTGCAGAGGGGCACTGCCCGCTTCTGCCCCCCAAGAGCATCCTCCATGCCAGCCCCACAACCCTATTCCTGCCTGGTGAGGCTGGCAGGGTGAGTAGGGGCTGGAGAGCAAGCTCATTTTGCATCCACATCAAGCAGCAGGGGCTCCTGCAGTTCTGGTCAGGAGGGTAGAGTAGGGGGAAGGCCAACCTGAGGAGCCGTGCGGTACTGCAACCCTCCACACCTGATCATCATGCCAGGAGCAGGATGCTAGGCCCAGGCCCCTGGAGAGGAGCTGCACTGCAGGGTAACTACGGCACAGGCTTGCTCTCCAACTTCCACCCCCAGGAGCTGCCCTTCTCCCGGAGCTGGGGGGCAGGCTTGCTCTTCAGCTTCCCCCCCATCTCCCACCCCTCTGCATGGGGCTGACACCCACCAACCACTATTTGAGAAAATCAGTCAGGACAAAGCATCACAAGCCAATAGAAAAATCACACTGTGACTTTTGTCCCCCGTAACTAACCTGCAGCCCTAGCCATGGTATCACCTAGAGCCCCACCAGCTACCCTAACCCCCTTTGCACCACACAGCCTCCGACCCTACCTCAAGCGCTACCAAACAGCTGCCCCCCACCGCACCTGAAGTCCTGCTGCAACCTAAAGCCCCGCCTAGCAGCTCCACTCCCTCCAGTATTATGTTTGGGCTACTGTGGCCCAATGAATCATAGAATATCAGGGTTGGAAGGGACCTCAGAAGGTCATCTAGTCCAACCCCTTGCTCAAAGCAGGACCAATCCCCAATTAAATAATCTCAGCCAGGGCTTTGTCAAGCCTGACCTTAAAAACCTCAAAGGAAGGAGATTCCGCCACCTCCCTAGGTAACGCATTCAAGTTCTTCACCACCCTCCTAGTGAAAAAGTTTTTCCTAATATCCAACCTAAACCTCTCCCACTGCAACTTGAGACCATTAATCCTTGTTCTGTCATCTGCTACCATTGAGAACAGTCTAGATCCATCCTCTTTGGAACCCCCTTTCAGGTAGTTGAAAGCAGCTATCAAATCCCCCCTCATTCTTCTCTTCCGCAGACCAAATAATCCCAGTTCCCTCAGCCTCTCCTCATAAGTCATGTGTTCCAGTCCCCTAATCATTTTTGTTGCCCTCCACTGGACGTTTTCCAATTTTTTCACATCCTTCTTGTAGTGTGGGGCCCAAAACTGGACACAGTACTCGAGATGAGGCCTCACCAATGTCGGATAGAGGGGAACGATCACATCCCCTGATCTGCTGGCAATGCCCCTACTTATACAGCCCAAAATGCCGTTAGCCTTCTTGGCAACAAGGGCACACTGTTGACTCATATCCAGTTTCTCATCCATTGTAACCCCAGGTCCTTTTCTGCAGAACTGCTGCCTAGCCATTCGGTCCCTAGTCTGTAGCGGTGCATGGGATTCTTCTGTCCTAAGTGCAGGATCCTGCACTTGTCTTTGTTGAACCTCATCAGATTTTTTTGGCCCAATCCTCTAATTTGTCTAGGTCCCTCTGTATCCTATCCCTACCCTCCAGCGTATCTACCTCTCCCCCCAGTTTAGTGTCATCTGCAAACTTGCTGAGGGTGCAGTCCACACCATCCTCCAGGCTATGCTGCACCTGCTAGTCAGGCTGAGAAGTGTATGTACTGTAACTAACATGTATGACCACATACACAGGCCTAGTTCTTATTACAATTTATATACTGTATTCTTTGAGAAATAAATGTAACCCGTTTGGGATTTAGAGAGCACAGCCCCATTAAAACATTGTCCTGAGGCAGTGGGAGTGCTGATTGCTCTAGGATAAGGAAGTGCACATTGTACCAAGGGAGTAGAGAGGGAGCACCACAGGGTGGGTGTGTCTCGAGCTCCAGGCATAAGGACCTACAGCAAGCAGGCCCTCACAAAGGGAAGCAGCTGAGAACCATCCCGAGCCTAGGAGGTACAGAGCAGCCGACCAGCACCGCCCCAGGACAGGAGGAGCACTGTGCCAGGGAGGAATCACCCGAGAAAGACAAAGTGGAGCTGGACCCAGTATCACTGTTGCCCAGAGCTGCATGGAGCTGTGAGTACTGGAGCTTGCGACCTTGCATTGGGAATAAGGAGGGAGGCTATAGTGGGAGATTGTCGCAGAAGAAGACACCAGAGAAGGTTGTTGAGGAAAGATGACTGGAGGCGGCGACCACAACCAGGAGCACCCAAGACTCACTGCTGGATTGGAACTCTGCCCAGGATTCCTGAACTCTGAGTGTAGACGCATTGCTCGGTGTCCGCCCTTTCAGACTGTGGCACCATGGGGCCTTTCCACAACAAACTCCTCTTGGAATACCCAGAGAACCAGGGAGCATCAAGGGTGTATCCAGAAAGCAGCAGCAGCAGGGAAATTCTAGAATCTGTGGAAATTTTTGGTTAGGTTTTGTATTTCAGAATCCAGTGTAGAAGGAAGGTCCCCATAAAAAAGTAGCACTCTGTGGACAACCCCCTCCGTATTGTTGCACTAAGCCATTTTCCATCCTCCTTTCACGTGTGCTTACTGATGATCCAGAGAAAATCAGTCTTGTTTAAACATTAAAGAGCCTCTTTAAATATTAAACTGCAAAGTTCACCTGGTTGTTAAAGCTGTATTTAAAGCAGGTTGGAAGCGAGTATCCATTCTCCAGTATTGGGCTTCCATGCAGCTGGTGTCACTCAATGGCGGGCCACTTTTCAGTACATCCACCAGCATCATGAGACTCAGAAATGCCAGCTCACTCCAAAGCATGTTTAAGGGACATTTAGCTTGGGGATGAGAAATGGTTCTCAGCCAATAAACTTTCTAATTTTTAATCTAGCTTCATTTAACAAAAAGGCAGCAATCAGTTTCACTGGGCTTAGGGGTAAGCAAAAGTTTTCCCAACTAGGAATGTGCTTGACATGATTCATTCTGGAGAGATTTCTACAGAGAGAAATAAAATAAAATAATTATTATTATGATGCCCCTTTCTAGAGAGGTTCTCGTACTAGACTGTCAAACCCACTTACTGTGCTTTGCAAACACTGATGTAGCTTCACAACACCCCAGCAAGGTAGGTCAGTATAATTATCCCCATTTTACAGATGTAGAAACTGAGGCACAAAGGGATGAACTGAGTTATCCGAGTTAAAAGACTGAGTCAGCACCACAGCTGGTAAGAGAATCCAGATCTCGAGTCCCCACCAACTACTCACCCAAATGATCCCTCATACAACAGCCTTACCTATCCCATCACAAAATATTGTATCAGTGGTTCTTTACTGCACATATCTGCATCACTATTGATCCTTCAAGATTTTACCATTGGTACCTGGCTGTGCAGCCTCCTCTTTTGTAGCTGTTAAATATTTTTGCTCATCTCTTTTATGTTTTGTTCATTAGGAAAAACAAAACAAAAACAAATAAGCAGTAAGAACTGAATCTTCTGTCATGCTTAAGCAAAAATGCACAGATATAGTGAGTAAGAAACACCAAACCAGTGAGATTCAAACCCCACAGCCTTCCAGGCCAAACTCCAGCCATTTTCATTTTGCTTTGATGCGTGATTGCAAGTTTATGTGGTTGCAGTGCACTGAATGCAGTCTAGGATTATGGTTTAATTACTTTAATGGGACAGTATCGGCTCCCCTCTAGTGGATAACCCTTGTTATTTTTCACTCGTTTTAACTGCAGGTTGTAGACTAATGCATTATAGGACTTCCTGATCTTTATTGTAAATGCTTCTCCTCATTTCCATTAGAACATTTTGGACCCCAGATACATGGTCATAACAGCCACTGACACCAAGAGATCTTTTAGATATTACAGTGATAAGTTTTACAGAGAATTCTACAATAGTGTCATACCAATTGCAACTGAAGGCGGAATTAAGCGCTTTATGGGAGAGCTAGAACAGGCCCTATATAAATAAGATGCATTTCAGTTAGGTGCCTTCTCAACTGACTTTTATGCACATGCTATTTGTTTCTTTTTGCCTTTCCCATTTTGTCTCCGAGTTACTGTGGGAAGATGTCAGTGTTCCTGCTCTGCTTTCTGCCTCCGACCTAATACCATATGTGTAACAGTAAGGCACGACAACAATTTTATCATAGCAAAAATCTACATCAATTCTGGCAGCGTTCTCCTCCTCAGAGCTTAGCTTTCAATGTTTCTCTGAAAGGGTAGTGGCTAGTAACAAGGCTATTAATAGGAGACTGTGCTTGAAGCAATCTCAAAGGGGACATGACTTGTGCGATGAGATACTGTCAGAAAACAATAGGGTCAGGCTAAAAAATTGACTCTTTTGAAAACCATGTAAAAGTCTTCCCGAAAGGGTCCTGACTGTCTGGGTACAGGAACCCGGGGATTCCCAAATGGATTGCTGAGAGTACAGAATCCTCTGGTCTTCAGAGGCTAAAATCTGAAAGGCTCTTCTCCTTGTAGAAAGTGGGTTGGCAGAGGGCTGTAGCTATAGTCTTACATTTTCATGGATATTGGGTAGAGGAAATGAATTGTACTGGGTTAGTGTCTGTTTCCTTCCCTCTCCACTTATTTGGTTAGGTCATACAATGCTTTCCATGCAACACTTTGCTTTGCCATGTTTTCTTTGCCCAGATCACGATGCAGTGTAATATATTTGTATAATTGTTATCTTCTTTCATTCTCGTTAAAATGAAAGTCACCTTACCATGGGGAGTATTAGAGATTGAAGGGACCTAGTAGGTCATTTAGCCGAAAGTCCCCCATCTCTTAC